TTCAGTAGAATCTTGCTTGCATGTGAAATCAATGACACTGTTCTGTAGTTTCCACACTCAGTTGGGTCACCTTTCTTTGGAATGGGAACAGATATAGATCTCTTCCAGTCAGTTGGCCAAGTGGTTGTTCTCCAGATTTCTTGGCACAACTTGGTGAGCACATCCAGGGCTCACTCACCCTTCCTCAAACTGAATGAATTGAAAAACAAATTCAAGACTCACATTGTAATACTTAGAAATGCTATGGGAAAAATCTTGAATGATTCCAGGAAACATCAAAAGAAGATGCAATACAAAGAATCACTGTACCAAAAACAATTGGCCAATGCTGAAATATTTCAGGAAGTATCATATGTTCAAGAGCCAATGGTAATGAAGGAAGAAGTTCAAGCTACATTGTTGGCATTGGCAGGCCCCAGGAATTGAAAGTTTTATCAATTGGCATGTTTCAAATGACAGATGCAGCCCTGGACATGCCCTCAAAGCTATACCAGGAAATTTGGAAGACAGTAGCCTGAACAACTACCTGGAAGAGATCCATATTCGCTCCCATTCCTTATAAAGGTGATCCAGCAGAATGTAAAAATTTTCAAACAATGTCACTAATTTCGCATGCAAGTAAAGCACTGCTGAAGATCATTCTAAAACAGCTAGAACAGTACATAGTTGTTGTTGTTGTTGTTGTTGTTGCTATGTGCTGTCGAGTCGTTTGCGACTCATAGCAACCCTATGTACAATAGCCCTAAACCCTGCTCTATCCTGTGCCAACGCATTGCCTCTGATACACCCATCCCAATTACTCCAGTCACTGAATCAATCCACCTCATAGAAGGTCTTCCCCTCCTATGCTGTCCCTCTACCCTACCAAGCATGATGTTCCTCTCCAAGGACCTGTCTCTCCTGAACACTTGTATAACTTCTATCATCATTTCTCTAGGTTCATATAATTTCCAGAAGCAAGCTATTTCTGAAGTGGATGCCACTCCTGCTTCCAAGTCTATTTCAGTCTGGGAGCTCCACCAAATACTGCCTACCATGGGAAACCATTATCACATTTAACACATTAGTGTCACAATGTTCAGCACCACAGCAATGAGTTACCTCTGTACAGCAAATTCACAGACCAGTGCTACACCACTTAGAAGAATGTTTGACCAAAAACAGTTAAAACTAGGCCCGAGGGCCAAATCCAGTCAGCTCACATCCGATTGTAAACAAACATTCCACACCCTAGCCTCAACCAAAACCAGAAAACACAACTTAGTAGAATCAGGTTGCTCCACCTATCTTCCCTAACAGGATTTCCCATGCAACACTACAGAACAAAAATCCACATAACACATATGAATTTGCAGAGCATTATGCTAAATAAAATTGGCAATCACTAAAGGACAAGTATTAATTATATAAGGTCACTATCATGAAAGGCAAAATAAAGGTTTACATACAGAAAGAATTCTTCTTGATTGGTTACCAGAGATGAGAAGTTACAGTTGTTATTTGACACCAAATCAAGCAAGAACCGAATCACAGCTCACCCTCCAGTAAGTTTTCAGAGGAAGTAAATCACATGGGAGAAGATTGCCCATCTTACTCCTGAAAATATGTAAAAGAAGAGACACACATTACATGCTGCTGGAAACTCTATGAACTTCGATAAATGAAGATAGTTATAAAAAGGTTTCAGGCCTTTTGTTCATAGGGTCGTTATGAGTAATTCTCGGTTTGACAGCAATCAACAACAATAAACAATAAGGGAATGATCAGCAAAAAATACCACTTAATAAAAGGGAAGACACAGAGAGCTGTACAGGAATCATAACCAACAGCAGATACACTGATGGAAATGAGACTTGTGGGAAGGAGACGAGGAAGCGGCATGAATTAGTTTGTAGGTATTGTATTCAAGGGTGTATGCCAGGGATGTATTCTGTCTCCATACCATGTCAATCTTTATGCAGAACAGATTATCCGGGAGGCTGAGCTGTATGAGGAGGAATGTGCCATCAGGATTGGAGGAAGACTCATCAACAACCTACTCTATGCAGATGACACAACCCTGCTTGCTGAAACTGAGGAGGACCTGAAGCGCTTGCTGCAGAAGATCAAGGATTGCAGCCTTCAATGTGGATTGAAACTCAACTTCAAGAAAACAATGTATTTGAATTTTGTAAATAAAGTAGTATAATAAAAAAGGGGGGGAAGAAAAATTTAAAAAAAGAAACCCCTTATGCCAAACCTAAAAATAATGAAAACAAAGATTCTCACCACTGGGCTAATTGGCAGCCTTATGACAGATGGTGAAGAAATAGAGATTGTTAACAGCTTTAGATTGTTTGGCTCCACAGTCAGCACTCTTGGTACCAGAAGGCAAGAAATCAAGAGACCAATTACATTGGGAAAGTCTGTCAGGGACCTCTCCAGAGTACTGAAGAGCAACAACATCAGTCTGGAGACTAAGGTGCACTTGATCCAGGCCATATTTTTTGCAATTGCTTGCTATGCATCAGAGAGCCAGACAATGACTAAGGATGATGACTTTGAGATGTGGTACTGGAGAAGAGTGTTGATACCATGGACTGCCAGGAGAACAAACCGGTTAGTCCTAGCAAAGGTGAAGCCAGCCCACTCTTTGGAGGCAAGAATTCTGAAGCTTCATCTGACATACTTTGGGCATGTTGCAAGGAGGGACCAGTCCTTGGAGAGGGTCATCATGCTTGGAAGGGTGGAGGGACAGCACAAGAGGGGAAGACCCTCCATGAGGTGGATTGATGCAGTGACTGGGGTAATGAGGGTAGGTGTATCAGATCCAGTACAGTTGGCACAGGATAGAGCAGATTCCAGGGCTGTTGTATATAGGATGGCTGTGAGTCACAAACAACTCAACGGCACATAACAACAACAACAATGCACTTAATGCTTATAAAATAAAAATCATAGACAACTTTTACCTTTTTTCTATTTATTATTAAGTTGTCTACTGGTCCTGTTGCTACAGCACTTCTCATAAACTCACTGCCATACATAGCTTAATAGCTGACCCTCCAGTGGGCTCTTAAAGGCTATAAAATGCAAGGAAGGAGATTACCCATCTTTCTCCCTTAGAGCTGCTGGTGGACTCAACAACCACCTGAGAGACACCACCCTTAGGGTTCACAGCAAAACTTCCTACCCAATAAGTCAGCTTTTCCATGCTGTAGCATCAATAAGTTTTAAATTGAAGACATTTGCCCAAAGGATTTCCTCAGATGATGTCATCTAGTAGTGAGCTAGTGTATTAGCCTAATTCTAGAATTCAAATTGGTGACCCAGTTGGCCCTTAAACAGAAGTATCTATCTGTCCCACCTGGGATAACAGCTTTCAGCTTGACTCTTACTCACTGAAGTCTTATGTTCAATAGAATAAAATGTCACCTGGTCCTGTGTTAGCCTTACAGTTACTAACACATCTGT